TAGCTGCCTTCCTTCTAGTCTTACACTGCTAAATTAGCGACGGCTAGCGCAGATAGCCCTCGTGTAGCTTTGCGCAAAATCTATAACAAACCAATATTGATTTACAATCTTTTAAGTGCTTGTGACATGATTACTTATCTAATGGCAACATTCTTTTGAATACTTATTAAATGGTTTTTAAGTACAACCTACATTATTGTGTTATAACCGTTACTGATTGTTATATAACGTCTAAATGTCTGTTTAATACCACCCCCCAATGGCTTAGCAGTAAGTTTGCGGACTTATAACGCCAAATAATCAGATCTAGATACTCGTGGTTGGCATGATACAGATAGCTCATTGTGTAGCTTTGTGCTTATCTACAAACAAACAGACAAGAACTGTTTAATTCTTTGTAAATGGTTATTATATAATAATTGCATTATATGATTGTTATATAGCACTTACATTCAGTCTACGTTCTGTTTGATATTCATTGCATTGTCAATTTGTTATTATGTAAAGCATAGACGAATTTAAAGAAATGAACGAGGACCTTCGAGGTCTCAGACATGAACATAACTTGTTCATCTAAAGAGAAGGAATAAATATTTAAGAACACTTAACTATGTTTTTCTTTACTATCAGGTATTTTTAGCTTTCGTGGACATAGATAACAAGTAAAAAGTATTACAATATATCCCATTCTTTGTTGTTTTTCAGGAAATATATATTTGTATATGAAGGAAAATAATAACATTTAGATTGTGAAAAACATAGTACATGGACTTTCCTTCATCCCAAACGATTTCCCCTCAGGGTTGCTCGGAAACAAACAAATCTACCTTGTTCATTCATTATGCAAATTAAATTAATATGTATGCCAAGTCTTAGAGTTAAAAACTGAGTGAAACATAAAAAGGAGGTGATTTTTGTGACGGAGAGCCTTCAACAATACCTAAGTACAAGATATCACTTGAGCTAAAATGATGGAGTTTTTAGGATATTTTAAAGTGAAAAATAAGTTCTCAATTAGTAGTTTTGAAAGCCCCTGATATCGAATTTTGTTTGCACGATCCGTTGGAATTAATTACCAATACTATACTGTAAAAGGGTTCAATAAATTGGTGTACATTGTTGTTTAAATACAATTATTATTTGAAAAGTTATCCCACAGTGAAGGGAATAGTCAAATATTTTGAAATTTTTCAATAATCTGCATTAAATTAAGATGTTTATGGATAGGTCTTTGAAGAATCCGGCTTCTTTTTTTAAATCCGCGACTACTGCAGCTTTTATATTTCTCTTGATTACTGGTTACGTGTTTCTTATGTAATGTGTACCTCTTATTTAGTAATTATTATATATTTTTGTGTAACGTCTACGTTCTGTTGAATGACGGTTATTTTGTTATTGTGTAATAACAACCCTGTTGGATAAATATAATGTGGTTGCTATTTAACGTTTATATTATATTGGTTAAATGTTATAGAGTTGCTATGTGCTTCCACATTCTATTGTATTCTGTGTAATGTGGTTGCTATATAACGTCTACGTTCTATTAGATAAACTTTGTATAATTGCTATGTAACGCCTTCATTCTGTTGCACAAATTTATATCAAATCTGCTCATGAAAAGTATTTCAGCTTTACTAGAGTTGACTTCAGTTCTGGGATATTTGGTACTGTTAGTTTTAGACATCAGCTTTACAAGAGTTGACTTCAGTTCTGAGATATTTGGTACTGTTAGTTTTAGGTATCAGCTTTACTAGAGTTGACTTCAGTTCTGGGATATTTGGTACTGTTAGTTTTAGACATCAGCTTTACAAGAGTTGACTTCAGTTCTGAGATATTTGGTACTGTTAGTTTTAGGTATCAGCTTTACTAGAGTTGACTTCAGTTCTGGGATATTTGGAAGTGTTAGTTTTAGACATCAGCTTTACTAGAGTTGACGTCGGTTCTGGGATGTTTGGTACTGTTAGTTTTAGACATCAGCTTTACTAGAGTTGACTTCTTCAATTCCGAATAACAGGAATTACTATGCAATTATACCACAATGAATATCATTAATAATAATACTGAAAAAAACAAAACATTCTCTGTATTTGAATTTTTTCCCTTTTATAGAAGTTTCTTAAATTATTTATGTCCAGATCAACCTTGTTGTGGCAGCTTCGTGCCAGAAGATAATGCTGAAAGTACTGAATCATTCTCAAGAATATCTCACTATGGCAGACTGTACATCTTACATGACGAACTGAATGGTTCACACCAGCCTAGTAGGATCATTGATCTTCGGGTCATAAATTTGGATGAACTTTCCAAAACAGTCACTTTAAAATGGACAGCTCCTGGTGGAGATCGTGATAGTGGAAAAGGTAAATTCATTTTGTTATCGTACAATCGAGATTTCAATAAATTCAATTACGTAATGTTTTGTAATGGTTCTGAAAATTCTCTGATCTGAAAGGCCATGTTGATATTTCAAACAATTTATGAGCAGTCGTCAGGCCGAAGAATTGGACAAGCATTTAGGCTTATATCTGTGTTGACTGAAAATCGTATGAAATATATTTAACTAAATGTCTGTAGGTATTGTAGTTTGGTGATTTGCTAATTTAAACGAATCAAAAAATAGCTCTTTAATATTCAACATAACATTCATAGAACCTTTGAATATCCAGCAAGTAGAGGTTAGAAGTTAATGTGTTTTTTTTTTCTGTTGTAATAGTTGATAGATTATGATTTAATGATATAACTGGTCACTATATTGCATTGCGATGGTTATTAAACAACTATTTCCCAATACTGAGCTGCGTAAATTAAATTATGTAACCATATTCTGGGTTTTTACATTGAAATCATACAAATATTTTTTTTATATTATGCTCCTAAAAATCTAAAAAAAATGTAGTTAGCTAGTTATTAGAAAGCAATATGTATTAAAATACTAATCAGAGAAATGAAAGAAAGAGCTAATATTGAGAGTCACTCTAAGCCTTAATAGTTTACTATGTTAGCCTAAATTTTAACTCGGTTACACTTCGTTAGAATTTCGAACATATTGCTATAAATTGGAGCTACACGTAAACCTTAAAAATTACAATTATCACTTGAAGCTGCTTGACCACGTACTTGATGTTTTTAATTATTAATATGCTTATGAAAATACAAATAAAAATAATGTTTTCTTAGTCACGACAACCTGTCATAGGTTATATGAGTGCGTATTTCTATTACGCTTGACAATACGGAGCAAATTTGACAAACGTACCATCAGTCTTATAAGGTGTTTTATGATGTTTGCATTACAACTTATATTTTTAAAAATACGTATAGCTAAGCTCTTCTTCATCGGCCAGATTTGTTCTATACTAAAAAGAAATATTGGTAACAGAAATGAACTGAAACTAACAAACATTAAACATGTATTAATAAAAGATTACTTACATGTAGTGTAATATATTTTTTCCATACAGGTTCATATTATGTGATAAAGTATTTCGATAACATATATGATGCAAGGAACCAATTTGAAAGCACAGGATATGATGCAAACCCTAATGATTCTCTGTTAACTCCAGAAGAATATGGAACTTCACAGCAGGAAAGCTTTCTCATTGAAGATTCTGCGTGGAAGGATAAAGTAGTTTATTTTGGAATTCTCTGTGTAAATGACAAAGGCCGTAAAGGACAGGTTTCTAATATTGTTGCAGCGTTTTTGAGATCATTTCCCGAAACAACAACTGTGGAAGAGATAACAACTATACATAACATTACAACAACAGATCCGAACGACAAAGAAAAGTACGATTCGGATTCTAACTTATATTTGATATTGGGACTTGTTTTTGGATTTATTGTTTTTGGTCTACTTGTTTTACTAATCGTTTTTCTCTATTTTCGAAGAAGGAAGTGGAAAGCTGAGCGTGGTCTAGATTATAAAAAAAATCAAAGTCATTCCGAAAATGAAAACAACACAAATTTTCATAGCAATCATAAGAAAGATAAAGACGAAATATTTCAATTACCTACACCTATAAATTATCCAGAAAATACCAACTATGTCCAAAAGCAAATCAACACGAATCTGAATGATGTCACTGTTCATTCTGTTACTGCTCAAGATGTTACACCTAGCGCCCCAAACAAAAATCCCTCAATGTGGAAACACAATTCTATCTACGAAACTGCCACTGACAGTGACAGTGATGTTTTAACACATGGTGGTAAGAATGGTTTAAATGGACGTTTCGATTTTCAGTTAAGCTCATCGCCACTGAATTCTTCCCTTCAGTCAATTAATGAAGTGGATTTACCTCCTAAGTTTCCTTTGCCTACAGTAGTTTAGTTTTTCTTTCCGTTTCCAAAATTAGTATAGATTAATGCAACGTTTCAAGTTAACCCTAAAGTTTCAGTGTATGACTTCATTTTAATAACTCTCCTCAGTTTCATTTTCGTTCACTAGTGTTCTTTCCTGTCTTAGTTTATATATCAGTTTAGTATTACTGCCCACATTTTCTTTTTTCAATGTCAGTTTAGTGCAATTGTCAGTTTGCCATTCCCACATAGTTTTGTGTACTTAATACACCTATCTTAGTTTGCCGTGCCCTCATGGTTTAATGTACTTGTTTCATTTTACTATATATATATATTTGCATCTGTATACACGCCACTGGTTTCCACGTGCAACATTAATATATATGTCCCATGTCTTCCTCTCTGATTCTCTTTAGTTCACTATATACGTATCAAATTCTCATTTTAAAGATCATTACAGTTCATCCATGCTATTTGTTTTCTTCTTCTTCAGAAGTCCAGTTTTGTATTCTGTCTTTGGGTTATTTATCTTTTTGTATATGTGTTTCAGAAGTTAAATGGTTATGCCTAAAATATATTTCGCTGATGTATTTTTTATACACTTGGCTTCCAGGTTTCCCCTCTCACGTATTAATTAACTTAATATAGTTCAATTGACCTCTTAAACTCTGCCTTCAACAATAACTTAGTAGGTCTTTCCTCAAACCGTTTTTTCTAGTTAAGTTTAGGGAACTTATTTTTCATCTGATATTTTATTAGTTGATTTTCCTTGATCTCCTTCTCAACATAACTTGTTTCTATTTTTCGCTACGCAAGTACCGCTTCAGCTTTGATCGTTTATATAAGAATGACATACAAAAAAAGCTTCCACGACTGCATGTTACCTACTAGAGTAAAATTTTGAACCGAATTTAATTCAACAAAAGAACAGTACATGCACTTCTAAGTACATCTTCTGCCTATTCATCATCATATTTTAGTGTACTAAATAAATGATGAAATCGGTGAAGAGAATAAGAAGAGGAAAGGTTACACAGGAATAAAGGTAGATGGACATAATCTTCTGGCGAAATCTTTTGTTACGAGTTTCTTATATACCTTCTTGTGAAGTTTTAGTTATGGTAATCAATGAACTACACATTGGTATAGTGTAAAAATAAATAGGTATTTGAAACATCGTCCTCTATACTTGTAATACTCATGATGAAATTTAGTTGAATGGACGGCAACTGCCTGTTGTAGCAACCTACCTAAACAATCTATCACAGAAAAACAAATATTTGATACGTGTTTTGCTGTATTTTACACAATAAATACGTTTTATGGTAGTTACAAGTGTAAAAGAAAAAACAAATGTATGAAATACATATAGTCTATAATGACACAAGCACTTTCCATAGAGCGCAAATTCCAAACCATACATTCGTAGTGAGATAAGTAGGAAACATTCCTAGTATCTATAATTTCCTGTTAATTACCTAATCATGGCTTTCACTGGAAGACGCTTTCCTGGGTAGTTCAGGGGGGTAATAAAGTCCCTAGAAGCTGAACGCTAAGTCTGAGCTTAGAACGCTAAAAATCAGGTTTCGATATAAGTGACAGGCACAGCACAGATAAGCCCATTGGGCAGCTTTGCGCTTAACAACACACATTAATTTGAAATATATTACTTGTCATACTTGCATTTTTTACTAACCGGTGCAACGTTAAAGCTTTATTGTCTTTATTTAAGTTGCAAAGGGAAGTAAACCTCCACAGTAAGTTCAGTTATAATTTTTACTGATGAATTCTGAACTTGTATGACATAATGTTTTATAAGGAATAAAAATTTCAGTATTATTGAACACTTTCTTCACAATACGTGTGATTCTAACGGAAATAAATTTTCTATCAGTTAAAAATGTATTTTGTAACTTTAACCATTGCTAAATTAAACGAAACATAAATAGTGAAAATACTATATGCTTTGAAACAATTTTACGTTCTTACGTGTTTTATCAATGGAATTGTCTTAGCTTTTTGAAAATGTTAGGCCCGTGTAGAAACGAAAACCTTTTCACGTAGATTGGGTCAGGTATGCTACTTATATGTTTATAAGACAAAATAAAACACAACTAAATAGTTTTAAAACAAAAATTATAAGCATTTAAAGTAATTCAACAATGCTTTTATTGTTTTTGATTTTCAGGGTAACTTTTAAATCTTGAAAGCTGTTTTACACTTAATTTCCTAGTAATTAAATTAATTGATAAATATAGATACTGTATATATATTTTAATTTGGTTATTTAATTTCTGACTTCATCGTGTCATGTATGAACTTGTCGAGATAAGTTTCGTTTTTAAGTAGACGATGTGATACTGTATTTGTGTTGTAAAAAATAAACAGGATTTGTGAAATCAAATACTTTTGTTAATATATTTTTATAATTTTATGAAAGACTAGCGTTGTATAAATATGTTCAATCACGATTGATTTCATACTATCTTTACTAGCTTTTACCTGAAATACATTTATTATATGTTCGCACACCTGTAAAACGTACAAAGAACTCAGTCCTCCAATGGATCAGCGGTAAGATTGATGACTTGTAACGCTAAAAACCGGTTTCAATACCAGTTGTGGGCATAGCACAGATAGCTCATTGTGTAGTCTTGTGCAAATAAACAAAGGCAAAGAACTGTTATGCTGCATCAGTGGTTCTTAAACTTTTTTATGTGCCGGGCCACCTGATTTTTATGTTTATTTTGCGGATCACAATGAGATCCATATAATATGATGCCGCTTCCTTTCCGTATGAGCCCCCCAGTTGCACAGCAGTATGTCTGCAGACTTACAACGCTAATATCCGGGTTTCGATACCCGTGGTGGGCAGAGCACAGATAGCCCATTGTATAGCTTTGTGCTTTATTACAAACAAACAAACAAACAAACTTTCCGTATGGGCCCGACATGGCCAGATGGCTAGGGAGCTCGAATCACGATCCCTCGTCCCATCAAACATATTCGCACTTTCAGCCGTGAAGGCGTTATAATGTGACAGTCAATCCCACTATTCTTTAGTGTAAAAAGTAGGCCAAGAGTTGGCGGTGGGTGGCGATGACTAGCTGCTAAATTAGGGATGGCTAGCGCAGTTAGCCCTCGCTTAGCTTTGCGCGAACTCCAAAACAAACAAACCCTTTCCGTAATTATTGAACCTTTTCTCATACCACTTGAGGGAAACTAGCGAATCACAGATTAAGAACCGCTGTACTACATATCTCAAAAGAAAATTGTCATTGTAATCATCGAATTTATTGTTAAAATTTCTCAGTGGTATTGAAATGACTGAAATACAAATGATGATCAAGTACTATTTATGTTAAAACTATGGTTTAAGATTGATAGTATTAAAAAATTATCTATCTATATATCTGTTTGTGTATATTTGTCTATCACTCTTCTGCTGCTTAAATTTTTATTTCTTTGTACGCATTAGTCTTTGGATGATAAGTAACGATGGTAGAACAGAAACACGTCGACTAGTCACAATGATCACAACCAGAATAGCCAAGGCATTGAACAAAAAATATTAATAAACGTAGGGAAAAAAATTGAAATCAGTCCAAAACAACCTGGAAAAACTTAAGAGCCCATCTTTTCATCTTAATCTCAAAATCCACACACTGGTACAAATAATGTTATTTAGCTACGCCATTTATTGATGTATATATTCTTCAATCACTCTTTGTTATTCTATCTTGTGGTAATTAGCTAATTTGTTACATAATGATAGGTTAGATAAAATAGTCTTTTACAAACAAAACTGTCAGAGTTTATTGTCTACCACCAAGCTGCTTTGTCCTTGTTTGAAGATCTTTGGCTATTGTTCTGTAGCCTAAAATAAGCGTGTTCTCAAGTTCTTTTTTTTAGCATTATAAACAGATTATTACATGATAATTACAATTATTACATTATTTAGGTAGAATTATGAGTAAAAGGTGAAATATCAATGTGTAATACGCACACGTATACAGGTCTGGAAAATCTGGAATTTTGCCTATAAAGTCTGAGAGTGAAAATTTTTGAAAAAAAAAAGAAAAGAAAATGGCTGCTCTGCAAGATAGAAGTAACCAAAAACGATTAACGATAAATTGGTCAATGCACAT